TCGTTTAAACTTAAATAACTTATTTATAGCCCGTGCCGTAGTAATTGTAGCTTTGTGAGACTGTACTTAATTTATTTACTTATGATGATATTGACTAAGTAGGTACTCCTTATGATTTATTCTTAATAACGCAGTTTTTTGCTGCCATTCTCTACAAAACTAAGTATTAAAACTGAAGTTTTTTGTTTAAAGACAAAACTTAAAGTTTCCCGAAAGCAGAATCAGTTGTTGCCTTTGCGTGAGTTTTCTTTTTTAGTGAAATATGATATGTGGGTACTTTTAAATGTAAAACACCCACCCAAACCCGGAACTGAATGGGTAATGTGTACACTATAAAGTACCTATAGAGAAGCGTCATCTTCGCACAGGTTGCGGCGGCACGCCCGAGCCACTTTCTCCTCACCTTGATTTCTTACCGTACGTTAACTCGCCGACAATTTGACAATACACCGTCAAACTTTTACTTTTTCATTTACGAACGAAACGCCCTACGTCATTACAATCGATACATTACATAAAAATTAGGAGAAAACATTTGCATAACATACCAAACTTATTTATATTAAATCAAATAAAAACTCACCAGCGATTTCAATAAATCCAATACGCAAATACCAAAAAGTTTTTAATGTCACTCTATTAACAACACACTGTTTCAATAATTATAAAAAAAAGAATATGTCACTGTCACAACGGGTATATTCGCGCCAAAACACTCAAATTCGAGTTTGGAATCCCGAATACGACGGAGTGCGGTTCGCCACGTTCGTCGCGGTTGGTGGCTACGCCGGCTGTGGCGATTCCATGTTGTTTACCAGAAGCCTCGAGTTGATCAACCGATCATTGGAAAATGCTGTGCACCGCTTGCATTTCCGCATGCACGCGCGGCCGTTCCAAAATGGCCGCGTTATAGCTAGCGTATTACTACATGCTGCAATATACTAATGGTTGTTTGTCCGTTTTCGCAATAGGTAAATAAGTTGCGTCCAGTGAGGCTGTTAGGTTTAGTTAGTGTCAACATAATTATTAGTTATTACTGCGCCATTGAGAACGTCCTATAGTCTTCGCGATTTTGCATACAGGTTTACAGTGCAAATTAAAAACGAAATATTTATTTTCATGAAAAATAATAACAGGTTAATGTCGTTTTTTCAACTAATAAACTTTTTTTCAAGCCCGATACTGTCCGTTTTTAGCGATTTTGGTACAACGCATATTAAATCAATAGAAAAGATGATAATTGTAAGTCAATTAAGGCTGACCACTCACTTATAATTTTTTTCCGTTTGGAATTTTCCGTTCAAATTCCGAATGGTTTCTTCCGACGATTGGGCAAATAGAAGACGGACCATATAATAATAATCTTTACGCAACGAAATGTTGTTTTAATATACAGAACCCAAAGATGACTGTAGAGTCAAATGTTTACGCAACATCAAAATGAAATGATTTTTATACAGAACTAGGATGTTATGATGGATATCCGTAACCGTAAAATAAAAAAATATCCGTAACCGGAACTACATACATATCCATAACATCCCTAATACAGACAAAACCCTATACATGTAAAGTAAACACGTGTTTAGCTTCGCAGGAGCATAATGTGTAATTAACACTGTATGACGTCTCTATACAAACCTCCAGTTCGTCATTGAGAATAAAAACATTATTAGTATGTATTTTAAACAATTTTTTTCCGCCTCCTTCGTCAGACCAGCTTTAGATTGCCAGTTTTTTGATTCGTAGTTAAGCGACTAATGGTTGAATATCAGAAAAACTTTTAAACAGTACTATACAATTACTTTTAGTCAATTTCAACCATTAGTTTATAAGTATTTTGTTAATATTTAACCATTAATACAATTTGACTATTAGTTCTTTACGGATCAAAAAACTGGTCCCCAAGTAATACCATAAATAACGTAAATACAGCGCAAAAAGTTAATGATGCACTAAATGTAGACGCAAAAAAATCACAAGTGGACTAGACTTGTGACATTTGAGTACAGGCAACCACATATGTATGTGTCCTCCATTTATTTCAAAATCATCATCATTTTAGGCAATATCAGCCTAATTGACGTTAATATTCCCCAAGGCTGCTTTCTAGATAATAAAAACAAATTGCATAATTTTATACCTACTATGGAGAAGTTCTTGGCTTGCATCTCACCAACTTGATGACCAAGCTGAAGGTGGAAGCGACTTCACGAATCCTCAACCACGGAACTGGCACTCTTGCCCTCCAACTGCCAAAACACAACGATCTTAACATTGTTGTTATGGCGGCAGACTTATGCCTGTTTTCACCATCAATCACTATTTTTTAAGTGACCCCTATGGTAACACATAACAGGAATTTTGTTTTCATAGAATTATAAAATTAGGGATTGATGGTAAAAACGGGCATTACACCCGTATTTACAAACATTACTGTGCACGTGGACGCACAGGGTCCCAAAAACCTATTCACAGACGGAGTGACACACAAACCAATCACAGAATCTATTCAACGCTGTGCGTTCGACTTCGCACAGCGTTTCTGCTTCTCTTAAGCAAGCATCGTATGTGAATACGGGTGGTACAATTCCAATCGAGTTAACCGCACACCTGGTGGCCGTGACATCACATAGACGCTCTGTACGGCTAGCACGAAATAGCGTTATAGGTAAGATGGCTGCTAGCCAGACCAACTAAGTACAAACCAAGCAGTATCCCCGCTTGGAATCGAACCAGGGACTTTTGGAGTTGAGACAGCTTACCTTAAGATAGGCAAAGCGCCTTAAATCTGCTAAACGGCAATGTTTATCCAGTTTAAAAAAATACGCGCCTGATTTTTAGGCTATAGCAATGTTTTACAGTTCATAGTTTGTGAACATTTCCGGACCAATATTGGACGGATTTTGATCTCATCAATTTTATAGCAATGCCTACATCTGAATAACATTTAGTACGTAAAAGAAGCATAATTTAAGTTACTAGTGAGTTCAACATATGCAATACAATCAGTAGGACTAAAATTATATTGGGAAGTGTAAAACGTAATCCCATCAATAACAATACTTGTCAAAAAAACCAAGTCTCGCAACTCAGTTGTTCTACGGTAAAAAGTTGTGAGATCCATGTAATACCAAGTCCAGGCCAGGAAATCTTTAACGTTTTACATAAATTATTGACTTGGCCATCGCACTAAATAATTTAATTTACACGTGTTTTCATGCGATGGCCAAGTCAATATATTTATGTAAAACGTTAAAGATTTCCTGGCCTGGACTTGGTATTACATGGATCTCACAACTTTTTACCGTAGAACAACTGAGTTGCGAGACTTGGTTTTTTTGACAAGTATTGTTTTTGATGGGATATTCGTGATGACTCTCGAAAACAGCTTGTAAACATGGCTCAGAAGCGAGATGGGTCTGTAATTCTTCAGTAAGGTGTTATCTCCTTTCTTGAAGAAAAGCACCACCACGCTTCTGTTCCATGCCTCTGGCGTTATTCCCTCGAGTAAAACGGAGTTAAAGAGCCTCTGGAGGACCTTCAGTATAGGTGTACCACCCGCGTTCAGAAGCTCCGAGGTTATTCCGTCATCACCCGGTGCCTTGTTGTTCTTAAGTTGTTTGAGAGCCATCCTAATCTCGTATAGGCTGATATCCGGGATATCTTCGGTATAGTGTCGGGTTAGCTTAGCTCTTGGATCTGTGGCTGAGCTATCAACAGGTTTGGTGACCGAGGTATATAACTGTCCATAAAACCTTTCGATCTCACCCAGAACCTCGGCTTTTGTTGACGTTACACTACCGTCTGCCGTCTTCAGCTTCGTCAGCTGGCTTTGCCCAATAGAATTGTCTCTTGCAAACACTTTGGAGCCTTGGTTCCGCTCTATCGCCTCTTTAATACTATTAGTATTAAAGTTGCGAACATCATGTCGCAAGGACTTCCATATCTGTCTATTGAGCTGCCGATATGCCTTAGCGTCAACGGAGGTCTGCAGTGTCATTGAACGTCTTTCAGCCATGAGTTTGAGGGTACGGTCGGTTAGCTTTTGCGGTTTATTTTTACGTTGTGGTCTAAAAAATTTCGACCCGACCGCTTGGACAGTTTCTACGAACCTGTTATTTATCTCGTCCACTGACTCGCAATTTTTTCCAGGCATGCAAAGCGATTTGACAACTCGAGCTGAAAGCTCTCGGGGCAGTGAATATGAGCATTGAGTCAGTGAGTGACAAAATTAAGTAACTTTGACCCGTTATAATTCTTAAACTACTGGTTCAAATTGAATGAAATTTGAAATATACCGTGTCTTTACAATGCCTGCATAGCTAATGAAAATTCAGCCTTCTAGTTTTATCCAGAACGAAGTTACAGGCGGTCGAAAATGGCCTGAATTGCTTCGAGAAAAGGATGGTACGGCCGTGCTCGACTTGGTGGGGGCACTGCCGTGCCCCCAGATTACAAGAAAGAACTTTTAGAACTTTTTACAGGCGTATCGCGTATGGATGGATACCAAAATATTCATCATCATCATAATTTCACCTACCAAAATATTATTGTACAGTAACTTAATAACTTAATAATGAAATAAAACATAAGATTTGGTCGCACAACAAAAGTTGAGGCCGTCAATACAAGCAATGATTTGTATCTGTATGCGCTTTCATACGTTTTACGTATCGGATCAAGTGCTATCTGTCTCGCTTGCAGACATTTAAGACGAGGGAGGTAACTATAGTCTGGACTGCGAGCATGTAGAATTTTGTCCAATGACCCCAAGCTACCCATCCTTATCGCTTGCGCGTAATTATGTTGCTGTCGCGCTCGCACACTCACTGCAGGCGCCCGTCAGTAACTTGGGGTCATTGGACAAAATTCTACGTGCTCACAGACTGGGCATTAGTGTATTTGATATTTGAACTTAAACGTGTAGTGTATTCTGTAAGTAAATATTCGCCTCAACTTTCGTTGAGCGCCCTATAAGGTAGTAAAAAAAGACTGCCTTACATAAAATTGTATATTTACAAGGTTGCACTATTGTCACTTCATTCGTTTTAGTTTGTTCAGCTCGCCCTGTTGTATCGAAGCTTCCTTGTAGATCTGTTTCACCTTGTCTCTCCTCACATTGTCGCTGTAAACAATAAATGTTATATTATTAAACAAGTTCAAAAATTCAAAATTTATTTATTGGAAACAAGAAAATTTGTACATGAAAAAGCGTGTACGATAATAGCCGCAATAGTTTCAGACGCCCACTTCCGTAAAAATATTCCATAAAAATACTACTTTAGGCGTGCTGTATGTATGTGTGTGATGTGTGTATGTGTGTGGTGTGTGTATGTGTGTGGTGCGTGTATTTGTGTGTTGTAAGAGTGTGTTGGCTCATAACATATTTAACAAGAAACATTACAAAAACGCAGAGTAGGGGGCGCTACTAACAGTGAAAACTAGGTGCAGAAACAATAAACCAGTGAAAGTAGTTATTGTGTAAAAATAATAGGTAATATGTTTTTAATCTCTGGCTGAAAATTCTTAAAGATTGTATTATTTTATAAGTGCAATTAGTTTCTGCCAACTTATTTAATTTAATAAGAAAAGAAGAGTATTTAGACACATTACCACTTGGGAACCACTTTATTAAAACCGGGCCTATTTTGCGCGTTTGATTATTAATGTTCTAGCAATCATAAATAAGAGGACTTGAGAAGGATTTTGACAAACGACATTCCAGGTACAGCTAGTTCTTGTTAACAAAAATCTAAATGTATATAACTCAAAGGGAAATGACTGACTGACATAGTGATCTATCAACGCACAACCCAAACTACTGGACGGATCGGGCTGAAATTTGGCATGCAGGTAGATGTTATGACGTAGACATCTGCTAAGAAAAGATTTTCCGAAACTCCACCCCCTTAGGGTAAAACGGGATCCACGCGTACGAAGTCGCGGGCGGCCGCTAGTTCAGAATAGGCGCGTTTGATGAATGTGAATTTAGCAAACATAAATAAGAGGACTTGGGAAGGATTTTGCTTCCCAAGCCCCAACGACCCAAGTACAGCTAGTTCTTATTAAAAAAATATCCAATAATTTGAACTTCAAACAGTGTCCGTACTGACCTGTGAATCTTCTGGCGGATCTTGACGGAGGCGACGTATGCCTTGTCCCGTCGTATCTCGCGCAGCGCTCCCTTCATCTCTTTCTTGTATTTGGTCTGGAGCCGCGCCCGCTCTGCGGTCTCGCGGGACATCTTCGAACTCTTGCTGCCGGTGAACCTGGAACATCAATAATATTCTTAAAGCAAAAACATATTTAAGGCAACATCAAGTAATAGTCATTGCGGGGTCTCCACTACAAGGCCATGGTCATGTCCTGCCCATCTCTATTTAGAAAGAAACATTTAATGCTATGGACTATTTACGGCTCTAAATCTCTTTCACCATGTCGACGCGGCCGGAGGAAGACAGCCTAAGAGATTGACAGCTGACATCCGGCAATAAGCTGGAATAAACTGGATGCAAGTGGCAAGAACGTCGTTAAAACAGCCTACCTAGCCACTCGATGGACCGACGTTCTGATGAAGGTCGATGGAGGCAGCTGGTATTGCAGGTCCGGCCATCTATACTAATATTATAAATGCGACAGTAACTCTGTCTGTCTGTCTGTCTCGCTTTCACCACAGAATAATAATAAGTACTACGTACAGAAGTTTTACTTCGCGAAGGTATTTAAAAAAATGTATGCTCAATGTCGTTAAAGGTGTAATTTAGCTTGTCTCAAGAGTCAAGCACCATTTTGTTGACAAACGTCAGTGATCGGTACTGCGCCGAAGCTATAGGGCTGACTTCGGTAAAATGATGTGTGACGTGAGGTGCCAAACTGCAGAAAATGGCGGAGGAAATACATGATTAAGCATGAATTATCATGAATAATATTAACCACTTACCTATTTACCTCTCAGTGTCTTAAAAAAGTACATTATGTGTTTTTATTATTATTTAGGCAGTTAAATACTGCACAGTAGTAAGTACACCATTTTCTTTATTTTTTTCCATCATACACAAGAATACGCGTGCGTGAGTCAATGCTCGCTCGTACTATGGCCTTGTCGAATAGTAATCCTGTAGGGTGTCATCGTGCTTGTTTTGTTTTCGATGTAAACTCGCGGAGATGAACAGGCCTGATAGTAAACAGAACTTGCGGCCGATGGGACAGCAAGGTTCTGGAGGCCAAGTACCGGAAAACGCAGCGTGGGACGTCCACCCACAAGGTGGCCCGAAATCCTCATAAAGGCGTTGGATACAGGCCGCTACCAACCGGGCAATATGGGAGGCCTATGTTCAGCAGTGGACGTCATATTATGGCTCGTATGATGTACGGTAAGTACTTGATACCATAGTCAATCGACACATTTTAATGAGCTGTCATAACGCTGATGGTAGAAAGGTCCTCAAGTGGCGACCACGTAGTGAAAGCAGGCCACCCACTAGATATACCGACGATCTAGTGAAGGTCGCGGGAGAACCTGGATGTGGCTTGCGCAGGACCGGTCATTGTGGAAATTTCTACATGAGTGACATAATATGAGTCAACTAACACAATATCAGCCAGTCAAGTTAAATAACGGGACTGTTTCCACATCTCGTTCCCGCTGTTGCAATTCCTGTGTGTGTAGTCAAGATCTGCAGCTTGACCGCCAATAAAAACTCAACCAGTGAAAGTAAAGTTTGTTGGGAAAGTAAATAATAAAAATTAAGTGAATTAAATTCAACTTACACTTCTTGGACGTCCGGTTCATACAGCCGCAACATCTTTATTTTCTTCTGCTCCTTCGTAAGTGGTGTGTACGTTTTAACCTCCAACACGCCCTTCATATAGCTCATTATCTCAGAAACCCGCGTTCGCACTTTCTTCGGGTAAAAATCCAAGTCGATCCGGCCGACTAGCGCTATATGTGGGGCGAATAAACAAGCCTGCGCTTCGTACTCGCTGAAGTAATCGAAAAATTCCTTCAAAATACCCATGCTCGCATTCAAACAACGAATTTTAAAATCATCGTCTATGTCTTCCAACACGAAATCCTTCGCCGCCATTTTGTTATCGACCGCCATTTTGGAGCAATCGTCTTCCAAATTCAAAATCTTAACGTCTCTGTGCAGTTTGAAAGGTGGCACTACTTGTATAGGATTCAAAATACTGGTATTCGATGACAAATACAAAATGCCTCTTAGGAAATTTATAGCTGAAGGTACTAATCTTTTGGATAGAGTTGTGTATTCTAAAACTAGAGTGGTAACAAATAGACCCCGAGATATCGAGTATGCGTCGCTAAACTTCGATTTGGTCAGAATTTCGGACATGAATATTAAAGATGGCGTCGTAACGGAATGCCGGAAGTCCGACGTGGGATATATCAACGCGATTAATTTGAAAAATATCAGCGTATCTAGATCCGGTATCCTTTTCGGTTTCTTTTTAAATTGATCGTGTTTTTCTTTTAGTAATTCGACTACGAATTTTTTCGTTGACACTTTGTTCGTTTGGGCGAGATCGTAGAAGTGTGGTGCGAGTTTGTCGAATATCAGGAAGGCTTTGATGACTTCGCCTTCGTCGGTTAAGTTGGTGAATATATCGTTAATATACTGTAGCATGTGGGCAAAGAGTCTGCTTAATAAGTCTTTGTTGTTCTGAGCTAACCCAGGGTCGTAGCTTTTGATCAGTTTCTGAAGCGCTGCGGACTGCTGTGCTGGTGTTTTGCCCGTTAACAATTCCTAAAATATTAATTGAATTATTAAATAACGCTTTTAAATACAAGTTATTTCAGTTTGTTTATTATACTCTAAAAAAAATTCGGTTGTTTAATAAAGGGTTGGATATATTACATATGAGTTCTTCTTACCTTCAAATTATCTCCTTCAGCCAACTTCAAATCGAAGAACGAGCTAATTTTCTGTTTATCTTCTTCAACATCCATTTCATCCTCACTTTCCTCTTCAGACTCTCTTAAATCCTTTAAGTCATCAACATCTTTTGCAGATTCTTCTTCATCATCATCATCCTCTGAACCTTCATCACTTTCATCACCAGATTCATCTTCACTGTCATCCTTGTTATCACTTATTAAAATACTATTTGTGTCATTCTTTTTAGCGTTATTTAGTTTTTCTTTTAAGATGTTAGCTTCTTTTGTATCTGTTACATTGTCTTTTTCAATTTTGTTTTCTTTTTTTGATTGACCTTTCTGATTCTTTTTTGTTTCTACTTCTTTGTCATCATCAGAATCCTCGCTACTTTCTTCATTCTCAGATTCTACACTGTCTTCTTTGTCACTTTTTTCTGCAGTTTCATCATTTTTGTTGGTTTCATATTTTGTTCATCATTGGAGTCATCATCTTCATCTTCTCCGCTCTCATCATCATCATCATCGCCTTCTTCTGATGAGGTGTCCGATATTCCATCATTGAACTTGGGTTTGGCGTTTGGAACTGAAAGTTAATTGAAATAAGATTTAAAATAGTTTACAGAACGATTGCTCGAATAATCTCGAAAGAACTGACGTTATAATTAGCTAATCTGGAAATAACTAATATTCAGCAGTAGACGTGGAAATGTTGAAATTTTGAATCATAACTATAGCTTTTGCCCGCGGCTTCACCCGCGTGAAATTTAGTCTGTCACAGATTGTCATAAATTATAGCCTATATGTTATTCTGGGTTACACACGATAATACTGTAAAGTTTCATCAAAATCCGTTCATTAGTTTTTGCGTGAAAGAGTAACAAACATCCAGACATCCAAACTTTCGCATTTATAATATTAGTAAGATAGTAAGATTATTACTCTGGGTGTTTTACCAAAAGAGTAGACACCACTAGACTAGTGGCAGCTGGGATCGAACCAGCGTTCCTTTGATCTCGAGTCGGCCAGTCCGTCACCTTGGCTATTGGGCTATTGTCGCTTTAAAATGATTTTTAGGTAGTCAAAGTATAAAAATTCCTCAAGTTTTTAATATTATCAAACATTTAAATATTCTATCTCTACCTGAGTAGTCTTTGAGTACATTTTCTGGTACCAGCGGTTTTCCATCCTTGTCGTATGCTAACATGAACTGCTTCTCATCTTCCAAATCAAAATTGTCTTCTAAATCATCGGCAGATCTGTAAAAAAAAGATTTATACTGTACTAAATACATTTTTATACCACACCATAATAAACGTGTCATTTAGCCAGCGGCTTCGCTCGCTTGAGTATTGGTTTGTCATAGAACCGTTTGGAACGCTCGCTCGCGGCGACTTTTTGTAATAATGGGCGTTTCGTAAAGGAGTGACATTGCTACCAACGCGAGTTAATCGCATTTGCAACGCACTACAGAAGTAACTTATTTATTTATTTAATTAAAATGAAAGTTAGTTTACAGATAGATCCAAAGCGCTCAAATTGGCAACTCTACTATATAAAAATAAGTCGGGTTTTCCTCCCTGACGCTATAACTCCAGAACGCACGAACCGATTTCCACGGTTTTGCATTCGTTGGAAAGGTCTCGGGCTCCGTGAGGTTTATAGCAAAGAAAATTCGGGAAAAGGGGGTAAAACGGGATATACGCGTACGAAGTCGCGGGCGGCCGCTAGTTTGAATATAATAACATTTAATGTTAGTAAGTACTTATATCTATTTATGCCACTACTAACGTAGCATCGCGACTGTGTCGATGCAAACGCGCGACCGTGTCGGACGACATCGTAGAGAAAACGGAGGCAAGGTGGCGCGGCAACCGTAGCAATCGCAGGTGATTTTGTGCCGTTACTAGTGTTGCCGATCGATATCGATAGCCAAACTATCGCAAGACTATCGATTGGCCTATCGATAGTATCGACAGTATCGATACTATCGATAGCTCAAAACGAGGCAATACTATTGAATATGTGCAATACTATCGATAGTATTGTTGCTCGTGAAGAATAAACTATTGATAGTATCGATACCTACTATCGATAGTATTGTCGCTTTTGAATAAAAAGCTATCGATACTATCGATACTATCGAGTGTTCTAAACTATCGATAGTTTGGCAATTTACAATAGTATCGTTTACAATATTTGGGACTATCGATAGATATAGATACTATCGATAGGCCAATCGATAGATAATGCTTTTTCAGATGAAAACTATCGATAGTTTTACTATAGATAGTTCGGCAACACTAGCCGTTATTAAATCGCGTTTGCATTGCGACAGAAGCGCAACAGTATCACGTTTGCATCACGACTGAATCGTGTTTATGTGGGCGAGGGCTAACTAGCGACCGCATTGCGACTGTATCGATGCGAATACGCGACAGAATAGACGTGTTGACACCACCAATCAATGAGGGCTACCGTTTTAGCGCTCACCAGTTAGCGCCACTGTAGAGTAAGGTCCTGTCACTTGCTAGTAGCGAAGACAGTGGCACCAACTGGTGAGCGCTAAAGTGGTAGGAGGACTATCGCATTTGCACTCATCAAGATGGCGCCACTGTAGAGTAAGGTCCTGTCAATCGCCAGGGGTGCCAACTGTTAAGTATAAAAACGATAGCCCTCATTGGCGTACTTTTTAAAACTGTCAAAACGAAACTCTCCCATAGAATTTGTATGGCACTACAAGCAAGTGACGTCACTATTTTTTCAACTCAATTAAACTACTTTTTTCAATTACAATGCGAACAAAAATCGTAATTCACAGGTAATTTAAAATTAATTAAGTTTTTAAGACCAGAATGAAATCTTTTTTTTAGAAAAGTTGTGATTTCGAATTATTGGGGTATGGTGTCAAACTGTCTATTGCTATAAAAAGACGCCGTGGGGAGAGGCCTCAAATGAAATTTCGTTGTACCTATGCTTCGGCACAGTTTTCTGCACTCTTGGCGTGAACATATCTTCATCTTCCTCCATCCGCTGTAATCTCTCTCGCTCTAGCTTCTCCAGCCTCGCCTGTTCTTCCTTCGCTTGCTTCTCATCATTCTTCAGACCGTCTGAAGGCTGTGAAAAATGTGAGATAATAATAAAAGTAAACTTGAACCCGACGACATCATAAAGGTAGCAGAAAGGCGCTGGACGCAGGCCGATACCAACCGGGCAACATGGAATGCATTGGGGGAGGCCTATGTTCAGCAGTGGATGTCCTATGGCTGAGATGATGATGATGATGATGAAACTTGAGCCCACACTATTTACTTCGATTAACTTCGGCCATTAGTTGATACATTTTTAGCTGAATCATTTTGAAATAACACGTTTTTCCTAGTTAAAACTAGTTTTCACTGATTTAAACTGAGCAGCAGTTACTTCTAGTTATTTCAAAGGTATTTTGTGAAAACCAGTTTTAATTAGGAAAAACGCGTTTTAACTAAAACCGTGTTCTTTTTTTGTAACAGATAGAACACACTTTATTTTACACCACATAAGACAAAGCAAGAAAAAGAAAGAAATATGCAAAATATTTATGGCACAATTTAGGCGGTCTTATCACTATAAAGCGATCTCATCCAGACAACTCAAAAGACAGTTGTAACATGTCAAAAACATAATAATAATCTAATATGCCTTTATTACTGGATTACAAGGTATTTTTTTTTACAACATTAACATTTCATTTTACAATTTAGCCGCACTCATCTCCAGTTTGTCCTTGGACATAGGCCTCCTCCAATGATCTCCATGCTTCTCTGTTTCTAGCCATTTGTGGCCATAATGGCCCTGCTAATTCGCGGATATCGTCCTCCCATGTTTTTGCTTGCCTGATGATGAAAAAGATGGGAGGACGATATCCGCGAATTAGTCAAAAACATACCGTTCCTCTTTTCTCGAACCGCAACTCCCTCATCATCTTGTCGTAATCTTCGCTTTTCTTCTCCGCTTGACTGAGAAGTTTCTCAATAGCCGATTCCTTTTCTTCTACCCGTGGTCGTTTGAAAACAACAGGCTGTAAGTCCTTCCATTCGCTGTCCAACTTCTCAGTCAAGTCCAAAGTTTGTTCTTTCTCTTTCTGTTTTTCTGCTTTGCGCTTTTTCGATTCCGCTATGAGTTGCTCGATGAGGTCTTTGTGAGATTTAGCACCGTCCTTCGCTTCAGTCCTTGTTAGAATACCACCACCGAAGTGGCCCTCTGATACGAAGTCATCTGTGAAAATCGTTCAAATGTTAGCGAGACTATAGTCTGATCTGCGAGCACGTAAAATTTTGTCCAATGACCCCAAGCTACCCATCCTTGTCGCTCGCGGGTGATTATGTTGCTGTCGCGCTCACACACGCACTGCGGGCGCCCGTCGCACAGTCGCGATAGCAAAATAATTACGCGCGAGCGATAAGGATGGGTAGCTTGGGGTCATTGGACAAAATTCTATGTGCTCACAGACCGGGCTTTAGCTAATAACAACAGAGATTAATGGGTCTCACAGAGCTTACACAACACAAGATTAACTTAACTGCCTAGATGAAAGTAGTAAATTATTAATCCAAACTTACCATCTAATCCTCCAAACTTCTTTGCGTCATCATCCTCATCATCTGATCTTGGATCATCAAATTTTTCTATCTGCTCCAGAGTTTGACCTCTAAAACAAATATAATTTATATTTATTTATTTTGCCTTTCCATTTATAAATGTTAGAAAGCCAACCCAGTGTATTGATAAAAACAAGGCAGAAGATTTATACACAGGGTCACACACGAACCAATCACAGAGCTCTATTCATCGCTGTGCGTTCGATTTGCTGCTTCACTTAAGAAAGCATCGTTTGTGAATACGGTTGTTAATGTATCATTTAGGCTGAGTTGCACCACTTTATTTTAACCGTAACAATAACAATAACTGTGCTTTTTGTATGGTATTTGACAGATTTTTGACATTTGTCAAAATTAAAGTAAGATGGCAATAAACAAACTCACAATTTTATTGCCACTTTATCTACATCTAAACCTTTTTCTTGCACAACAGAAGAGAGTGACAGAACCTTGCTCAACAGTGCCAACTTGTTAGCGCGAATATGATAGTCCTCAATCGGAAGACCAGGGTTGTGGCATTCGTTTACCTATTGAGATGCTACAACACCATGTGAGTGGATACCTTTTTAGTATCATTGTGTACCAGTGGCGGATTTACAGTTTTGCCGCCCATAGGCTAGGGTGGGGTTGGATCTTTATTTAACTTTTATCTTTTGAAATCAAGTAAGCGTCATCTGTAATCTGCCACCCCTAGGCCGGGGCCTGTACGGCCTATTGACAGATCCAGGACTGTTGTGTACATTCATTTTTAAAGATCTGTCTATGTTATGTGTAATGAATGATATTGAACAAATACTTTTTCTTTCAATCAAATTACCTACTATTGGAACAGAAAACTGAATGAACTTACCTGTGAGTCAATATTTCATCATCTGCCAAATTGTAGATATCTTTTTTGCTATGCTGCCGAGCCCTTTCGGCGGCGAACCGCGCAATCATACGGTCTTCCGATGACAACTGATTGTTTTTCTCTCCGATACGCTTGTCAATGAATGTGTTCGTCTTATTCATAAGTTTCATTTCGGTTCCTAGAGTTTCTTTTCTCTGTAAAAAATTACATTATTTAAATACAAATTCATTTATGCCATGAAGATAGATAATTATTAAAAGTGAATGGTGTTATGAAATTTTAAATAACACGATACATAACAAGTGTTGAAACTTAGATTGTTACCTTCTGAATAGCTTTAGCTCTCGATACTCCAGGTAATCCTCGATCATGTTTAGATTTTTTACCTAAAACTTTAATTTTTTCTCTGTTGATGTGCACCTCGAACGGATTCAGCTTTTTCTTTATCCCATCTCCCTTTCTTTTGTTGTTAACTTTATCAGCTAGCCCAGAATTTCTTTTATTTTTCGCCTTCGCCATACTTTAATTATTGGACACTTTTATTTAGCTAAATTAAATAAAAATAACACGAATCGTCGCACTAGAGAGGTTATTTTTTTGACACTGACACGCGCCGCGCGTGGTTTTGACATTAGATGTACGTTTTAAAGTTTGTTCTAGATTTATGCTTAACATCACGAAACATAAATCAACCACGCCATAAAAATGAACATTTTTTATTCTCAAAAACAGAATTTATTTTTGAATAAATTGTTTAACGCTTTTATTGCAAAAGTAGTTAAATTGAAAATTAAATGAGCTATTATAAATAAATAACACAAATAAATAATATTTTTATCATAAAAACTGCTATGACCGGACCACCACAAGTCACATCATAATAACAAGTGTTGAAACTTAGATTGTTACCTTCTGAATAGCTTTAGCTCTCGATACTCCAGGTAATCCTCGATCATGTTTAGATTTTTTACAACAATTTTTTTATTTTTTAGTCACAACATTAATTCACTTCACACTTTAACCATGGACATACATTACAATGCTCTTTAAAATGCTCCGATAAAATCACAAAGAAAATTTAAATTTAACTAACTTTACAAATGCGTTGAACATGTATGGCGCGAAGTCAACATTCATTTACACTAATTCATAAACAAATAATACTCCTTATTCACTCGCAATAAGTACCATAATCGAACGAATACCTGAAGCTTACGATTGCAGTTGCGGTGCAATTTCTATGTTTTGTTGCGTATTCATTTGGAACCATAAAGTTAATATTCCTTCGGAATATTAACTTTATGCAACTCAATAAACTACTTTTTTCAATTACAATGCGAACAAAAATCGTAATTTACAGGTAATTTAAAATTAATTAAGTTTTTAAGACCAGAATGAAATGTCTTTTTTTTAGAAAAGTTGTTATTTCGAATTATTCGGGAATGGTGTCAAACTGTCTATTGCTATAAAAAGTCGCCGTGGGGAGAGACCTGAAACGAAATGTCGTCGTACCTATGTTTCGGCACAGTTTTCTGCACTCTTGGCCTGAACATATCGTCATCCTCCTCCATCCGCTGTAATCTCTCACGCTCTAGCTTCTCCAGCCTCGCCTGTTCTTCCTTCGCTTGCTTCTCATCATTCTTCAGACCGTCTGAGGGCTGTGAAAAAATTTAAGAGTATTAAAACTCGAGCCAATACTATACTTACGAGCAAAAGTATGGAATCACCCCTTTGTGTTCCGAGCGGTCTTAAGAACTGAATGACTATGTATTGTATGTATCTATGGTAGTAGGGAATTTAGTGCAATGATTTGTATGGAGACCCCTCCACTTTTGGATAGAAGGCTCATTTTTGCACCAGTTGTTCTTTGGGTGCTCCTGAGTAGATTTCCGTCGGTAGACATCGGGAGCCCCCCCTGTGGTAGCAGGGGGAGGGGGGGCAAGTTTTCTTCTGCCGCGCTTCACTTTAAGGCCCATATCTTCAAAACTATAGGTATTAGGGCAAGTGTGGTGTCATTTTCGGATAATTAAAGGATGGCGAATTCATTTCTAGAACAAACTTTTTGCCTTTTCATACAAAAAAATAGAAATATTGAGGAAAATTCACAAAAACCAAAAAGTATTTTTTTAAATAAACGTCGTTAACTTTTGAACCATTGGATTTAATCTAATAAAAAAAATATGTACTGAAAGCTACATTTACCAGAATTATAAATATATACCATTGTATGGTATTTTTTTCGAAAAAAGTAGGTGATAAAAAATTTTTCTTCAGAACACAGCGGGCGAATTTTACTGCGCGTCGGAAAAAAATATTTATTTTATCCATGAATTCATACTATTTGGTTCATAAGCAAGTAAGGATTATTATTTTAGAATTTATTTAAAGTTCCTGGCACATCAAGCTAACATGATTTGTAATTTTTCTTCAATTAATTTTGAACTCTATGTGTAAGACATAAGGCTGAAAATAGCTTAAATACATTTTAATATTGAAAATATCATAAGAAGAAAGCTCTAAATAAAGAACTTGAATGTGTCTAACTATATGTCCAAAGATTATTCTTTTAATTAACACTTATTTCTACATACTATTGTACCAGTGATTTAACGGAAAGGTAAGTGTGAGGAAAGTGAGGATTAATAATCATAGTACGGGAGATTATTTTTAGCACAAAGGCTACGGCTGTGACCATTATAGTTGTTTGTTCAGACAGCACCAGCTTCTGCACTTGCATCTCACCATTTCCAGGCAAGCTTCGGCAGCTACAGGCAAATCAGTCCATGTAAGCTCCATGTTGCTATCGACTCTGGTCCACCCCCAACCAGTCGGGTAAAGAGAAGACTGAGTCGGTTGCTTGCAACTGACCCTATACGCGAAACCCCTTGATATACTGCCAGTAGCCAATGCTGATACAAAGCTGTCTGGGTTAGGTATCTTATATAGGGCCACACCTAAGCGTAGTCCACAGCGACCCATTAGGATCTTTATTCTCCCTTTTTTATTCCCTATCATCCAAAAAATCCTATCCATTAGTTAGGTGAATTAAGCGTATGAGTGAAAGCCAGCTAAAGTCTTCTGATGCCGGATATGCTGACCCAAGCAGACCCATCCTTACAGTATAAGTGTTTCATGGACCCCACATTTATTCCAAATGCTCGAGAGCTTCTGTTGTTAGGCCCATTTTGTGGGACATGTGGTTCATTCCCCAGTTTGCGTACCTGTAATTGCTTGGGCTTACCTTTGATGAGTTTTCTCCATGACCCTGTATTTCCCTTCAGGAATGATTTGGAGAGGCTTATATCGTTGGAGCTTTCCCATTCAGCCATGTGCTTCTTGGATATGGCCATATTATGGCCATGAGGTATGCTTTTAGATAAAGATACTATCAGTTCTGACGCAATAGGTATCGTCTCTGACCCTTGTCTCGCTAGACTGTCGGCTCTCTCATTGCATTCGATCCTTGTATGTCCAGGTATCCCACATCAGGTACACTTTGTCATGCCTTCCGAGTTTGTTCATCTTTAAGATTGCATCTAGAATAATTCTAGACTCAACCTTCACTGAGGCGATGGCTTTGTTTGAGTGCTGCCTGGCTGTGGCTCAGGATGTAAATATTGCGTTTTTTACACCCCTGTTTAAAAAACAGGGTGCACACATAATTATAGAGTATAATTCAGCTTGAAATACTGTAGCAAACCTTCTTAAACGTTCACTGTGTTCGTGTTTACAGTAGACGCCCGCTCCCGTTCCCAAGGCCATCTTGGCTTAGAGCTGTCAGTAAACCAGATGAGGCTGTCCTGTTGGGATTTTGGTCCTCTTTTCTAGTCGTCCCTTGTTCAAGATCTATCCACTTATTAGCTCAATCCACTGTTTTTTTTCTCACTTATCATATTAATCCACTGGTATTGTTTTAGATCAAGTAGGTACCTCCTACTATTACTACATGCTTGACTATGAACGAGTGCTGTAAGTGCCCACCAACCTAGGCAGTCTTGTATCAGAATCGGCTACGGGCAGTATATCAAGGGCAGTAATCATGTCCTTATGATGAATCAAGTTATTTAAAATTTAGTAGGTATATCAAGGGGTTTCGCGTATAGGGTCAGTTGCAAGCAACCGACTCAGTCTTCCCTTTACCCGACTGGTTGGGGGTGGACCAGAGTCGATAGCAACATGGAGCGTACATGGACTGATTTGCCCGTAGCTGCCGAAGCTTGCCTGGAAATGGTGAGATATAAGTGCAGAAGCTGGTGCTGTCTGAACAAACAACTATAATGGTCACAGCCGTAGCCTTTGTGCTAAAAATAATCTCCCGTACTATGATTATTAATCCTCACTTTCCTCACACTTACCTTTCCGTTAAATCACTGGTACAATAGTATGTAGAAATAAGTGTTAATTAAAATAATAATCATTAGACATTTAGTTAGACACATTCAAGTTCTTTATTTAGTGCTTTCTTCTTATGATATTTTCAATATTAAAATGTATTTAAGCTATTTTCAACCTTATGTCTTACACATAGAGTTCAAAATTAATTGAAGAAAAATTACAAATCATGTTAGCTTGATGTGCCAGGAACTTTAAATAAATTCTAAAATAATAATCCTTACTTGCTTATGAACCAAATAGTATGAATTCATGGATAAAATAAATATTTTTTTCCGACGCGCAGTAAAATTCGCCCGCTGTGTTCTGAAGAAAAATTTTTTTTCACCTACTTTTTTCGAAAAAAGTACCATAAAATGGTATATATTTATAATCCTGGTAAATGTAGCTTTCAGTACATATTTTTTTTTATTAGATTAAATCCAATGGTTTAAAAGTTAACGACGTTTATTTAAAAAAATACTTTTTGGTTTTTGTGAATTTTCCTCAATATTTCTATTTTTTTGTATGAAAAGGCAAAAAGTTTGTTCTAGAAATGAATTCGCCATCCTTTAGTTATCCGAAAATGACACCACACTTGCCCTAATACCTATAGTTTTGAAGATATGGGCCTTAAAGTGAAGCGCGGCAGAAGAAAACTTGCCCCCCCTCCCCCTGCTACCACAGGGGGGGCTCCCGATGTCTACCGACGGAAATCTACTCAGAAGCACCCAAAGAACAACTGGTGCAAAAATGAGCCTTCTATACCAAAGTGGAGGGGTTCTTGCACTAAATTCCCTACTATGGTATCAATTTAAAGTTTATAATATCACCTTTAAAATGGTGCCATTTTTATTGATCTTCTATTAGTCATTAATTAGTTCTTATGATCGCTCGGAATAAATAGAGTGATTCCATATTTTTGCTCGCGAGTGTATTTACTTCGATAAACGTCGGCCAATTTAGCGAGTAGTGTAGCTGAAGTATAAGCCTAGGCGCAGACCACCGACTTTTAGTTGGCCGATAGTTTAGTTGGACAGTTAGGCTAATAACTCACGGCGCAATTTTCGCAATCGGTGAAAATCGCACCGCGCGCTAAGGCACTGGTACAAAATGGTCGCCCGCCGATCGGGCGGTTTTCGAGCGGACGAAAACCGCCGAGGCTGCGGTTACCGCGGCCGCTCGATTCTTCCGCGCCCGCTGCGTGCGAAAACCACGTCGTGAGTTGTGCATTAGTTATTACACAAGTACCTACATATCTGCATTTTACAGAAGCTGCGGGCCCGCAACCGCAGCGGACGCGGGTGAAAATCGCGCCATGAGTTCTTAAAAAATCAAAATCAAAATTATCTTTATTTGTTTAGACTAATTAAATTAGTTCTTGCAAATCGTCAAATGCTCTTAAGGAGCCTATACATGTCTCATTCTTTTTTTGCCCTACCAGCGCTTCGAGACAAACATTAATAAGTATAGACAGACATGTATGGAAGTGCGCAAATTACACCGGTTTAGATTTCATACAAATTAGAATCGGGCCCAACTATCGGCCGATAAAAAGTCGGTGGGCTGCGCCTAGGCTTAGTTGAAACGATTTTAGCTGAATAATTTTGAAACAACACGTTTCCCCTAGCGAAAACAAGTTTTCACTGATTTAAACTTTGAGCAGCAGTTACTTCTATAGTCTGGTCTGCGAGCACGTAGAATTTTGTCCAATGACCTCAAGCTACCCATCCTTATCGCTCGCGCGTAATTATGTTGCTATCGCGCTCGCACACTCACTGCGGGCGCCCGTCGCACAGTCGCGACAGCACGCGATAAGGATGGGTAACTTGGGGTCATTGGACAAAATTCTACGTGCTCACAGACCGGGTTTAGTTGTTCCAATTAAAGGTATTGTGACAAGTAATGAAACCAAAGGTAGTGAAAACTAGTTTTGACTAAAAATGGGTTTTAAGTTTTTAACTGTAACAAATAGAATAAATACACATCATTTTACACCACATAAAACAAGACAAGAAAGAGAAAGAAATACATGGCACACTTAAAGCAATCTCATCCAGACAACTTAAAGGACAGTTAAACATACCGTGCCTCTTTTCTCGAACCGCAACTCCCTCATCATCTTGTCGTAATCTTCGCTTTTCTTCTCTGCCTGACTGAGAAGCTTCTCAATAGCCGACTCCTTTTCTTCTACCCGCGGTCGTTTGAACACAACAGGCTGTAAGTCCTTCCATTCGCTGTCCAACTTCTCAGTCAAGTCCAAAGTTTGTTCTTTCTCTTTCTGTTTTTCTGCTTTGCGCTTTTTCGATTCCGCTATGAGTTGCTCGATGAGGTCTTTGTGAGATTTAGCACCGTCCTTCGCTTCAGTCCTTGTTAGAATACCACCACCGAAGTGGCCCTCTGATACAAAGTCATCTGTGAAAATCATTCAAATGTTAGCGAGACTAGCTAACAATAACAGCGATTGGTGAGTGAACATAAGATTTAAAAAAAAAAAAAGTTTATTGCCAGTAAAACCAAATACATAAAGTCCTTATGTCTAGCGGATACCGCACTAAGCAAAGCTTGTGTCGCAGTAACCTTTAATACTTGTTACACATAAAAGAATCTTTACTATGTGGTCTGGGAACTTTCAGATCAGACAATTACTAACAGTTTCAGAACGTTATTAACTAGGTAAATAAAATTACTTACAATATTTTTATGTTACAATGTCTCTATTAAAGTCTCTTACCCCCTTACTAATAAAACTTAATGCCTAGATAAAAGTAGTAAATTGTTAATCCAAACTTACCATCTAATCCTCCAAACTTCTTTGCGTCATCATCCTCATCATCTGATCTTGGATCATCAAATTTTTCTATCTGCTCCAGAGTTTGACCTCTAAAACAAACATAATTTATATTTATTTAATTTTATTTCTCCTTTCCATTTATAAGTGTTAGAAAGCCTACCCAGTGTATTAATAAAAACAAGGCAGAAGAAGAAGATTGTATAATTTAGGTTGAGTTGCACCACCTTATTTTAACCGTAACATTAACAACCGGTGCTTTTTGTATGGTATTCGACAGATTTTTGACATTTGTCAAAATTAAAGTAACATGGTGCAACTCAGCCTTAATGTTTAAGTTATAACTACACTAGCAATAAACAAACTCACAATTTTATTGCCATTTTATCTATATCTAAACCTTCTTCTTGCACAGCAAAAGCAAGTGATAGTCCTCAATTAGAAGACTAGGGTTGTGGCATTCATCTACCTATTGAGATGCTACGACACCATTCTGAGTGGATACCTTTTCAGTATCATTGTGTACATTCATTTTTAAAGATCTGTCTGTTATGTGTAATGCTATTTAATAAATATTTTTTCTTTCAATCAAATTACCTACTATTGGAACAGAAAACCGAATGAACTTACCTGTGAGTCAATATTTCATCATCTGCCAAATTGTAGATATCTTTTTTGCTATGCTGCCGAGCCCTTTCGGCGGCGAACCGCGCAATCATACGGTCTTCCGATGACAACTGATTGTTTTTCTCTCCGATACGCTTGTCAATGAATGTGTTCGTCTTATTCATGAGTTTCATTTCGGTTCCTAGAGTTTCTTTTCTCTGTAATTAAGTAAATGATTTATATACGATTTCGTTTATGCCATGAAAATAGATAATTATTAAAAGAGATTTTAAATAACACGATACATAACATGTGTTGAAACATAGATTATTACCTTCTGAATAGCTTTAGCTCTCGACACTCCAGGTAATCCTCGATCATGTTTAGATTTTTTACCTAAAACTTTAATTTTTTCTCTGTTGATGTGCACCTCGAAAGGATTCAGCTTTTTCTTTATCCCATCTCCCTTTCTTTTATTGTTAACTTTATCAGCTAGCCCAGAATTTCTTTTATTTTTTGCCTTCGCCATACTTTAATTATTGGACACTTTTATTTAGCTAAAATAAATAAAAATAACACGAATCGTCGCACTAGAGAGGTTATTTTTTTGACACTGACACGCGCCGCGCGTGTTTTTGACATTAGATGTACGTTTTAAAGTTTGTTCTAGATTTATGCTTAACATCACGAAACATAAATCAACCACGCCATAAAAATGAACATTTTTTATTCTCAAGAACAGAATTTATTTTTGAATAAATTGTTTAACGCTTTTATTGCAAAAGTAGTTAAATTGAAAATTAAATGAGCTATTATAAATAAATAACACAAATCCCAACTATAATATTATAAATGCGAAAGTAACTCTGTCTGTCTGTCTGTCTGTCTGTCTGTCTGTCTGTCTGTCTGTTACGCTTTCCCGCTTAAACCTCCCAACCGATTTTGATGAAATTTGGCATAGAGATAGTTTGAGTCCCGGGAAAGAACATAGGATAGTTTTTATCCCGGTTTTTGAAACAGGGACGCGCGCGATAAAGTTTTTCTGTGACAGACAAAATTCCACGCGGGCGAAGCCGCGGGCGGAAAGCTAGTAAATAATATTTTTAACATAAAAACTGCTATGACCGGACCACCACAAGTCACAACATTAATTCACTTCACACTTTAACCATGGACATACATTACAATGCTCTTTAAAATGCTCCGATAAAATCACAAAGAAAATTTAAATTTAACTAACTTTACAAATGCGTTGAACATGTATGGCGCGAAGTCAACATTCATTTACACTAATTCATAAACAAATAATACTCCTTATTCACTCGCAATAAGTACCATAATCGAACGAATACCTGAAGCTTACGATTGCAGTTGCGGTGCAATTTCTATGTTTTGTTGCCTATTCANACTTTATGTTTGGAACATGTTTTTACCGAGCGACCCCGAAGCGGCATTCGGCAAACTTCGTAGTGACGCCGTGTAGCACATAGCGCGTAGGTATATTATTGTGTGGCTGTTCCTCCTTGTGTTAGCAGACGTACGAAATCTACTTTGCTCCAAGAAAAATGCCAGACGTCACTGATGAAGAACTTCGCAAGGAGATCGAGAGTAAGAATAACATTTGTTTTATCAAATATACTTAAATTTCACGTTTGTAAATGTATAAATTTCTATGAAAGTACGTAGGCCGCGTAATGGCTTCCAATGCAAATGTCCAATACAACTTCGATTTTTCTTACCTTGAAATTGAAATATCTCTGATAGTATGATGTTATTACTGAAATGTTTCAAGTGAAAGTTGTTGGGTAAAATTATGCGGATCGTTCTGTATACAGGGCATGATTTGTAATAGCTCGGCTAAGCTTGCTCACTGATGGTTTATTTTTATGCAACGCTGGGGCCATCTCCACGTATGAACCAATGAAATGGCCGACTTTGGTAAAGATTTGGTAATGCAGATCAAAGCGCATCAGGTTAACGTGTCGGTTTCTCTGGAAAACATTTCCTTGAAACTCATTTAATTTAGTATTATCGTATTATTTTTCGATTTTATTCAATGTTTTGTCAATTTCTGTAGGCCGCCATTGTTGCGTTCCAATTTACGCATCCGTAGGCTTTCGAATACTTTCGATGTTATTTTTCTTCGTAAATAGTTAATTTTAATGTGTTTCAAACATTATTTTTGGACCTGTGTTTCAAAATAAAACTAAATGTATTAATTATTGTTTCACGCCAAGTTTGGTTGCATTTTTTGCAAATAGGTAGGTTCAATTTCAAATTCAAGGGAAAAAATGGGCCAAGCTCATAATTTGACATGTAATATTTTATAAATTAATAGATATTTTATTACTGAAATAATTATTTCATAACGACTATATTCCCAGTCCTGTTTTTTACCCAGATAAGTGCTGGGAAATATAATATTATTATTACATTGCCCTTTTTTCCCTTGTATCATCATGGATTAATGTATGTAATAAAAATTTACATAGTTCGTTACAAGTCGACCTAATAAAAGCGTGTTTAAAATAGGAATAGTTTTAAGAAATTACATATTAAAAGTAGGCTTGTGCCGCATTTTGCCTACAGTAATGCACCTCAATGTAGGCACTAAAATAAGTTTTTCTTGTTGACAGAGATCTTAAAAAATGCCGATTTGGGGAAAACGTCGACCAACAAGGTCATCCAGAAGCTCGAGAAAGTTTTCGACGTCAAGTTGGCTGACCGCAAAAAGACCATAGATCAGATGGTGCTGGACTACGTCAACAGCCAAGAGTCCGACGACGACGACAAGGATGATGACGATGACGACGATGAGGTATGATGATCAAATCATTTTTATTTACGAATAGGTTTACATACAATGTTGTTACAGGTCTTTAAGCATCTCCATCTTCCACCTTTCCGCATGCATATTTGTGAAGATTGCGCACTGCGAATAACGCATATTACGAGTTTGTATAGCGCGGCGTGGTATTTATGTATGTTGCCTTTGTCGAAAACAACGAATTGTACCGCGTGCGAGCATTATCGCAAAATCGCGAACAACGAGCTGTAGTATTCATGTCTATCGCCTGTGTAACAACTGGTTGGTAACAACTGAGTACTTTGCGACCGTTTGTTACCGTGGCATTAATTTCTGTGAAAAATATGATGTGATAAAGCCTGCCGAGCGATAAGGATGGGTAGCTTGGGGTCATTGGACAAAATTCTACGTGCTCACGGACCAGGCTTTAGTTGGATAATTTATATTTTAGTCTTAACTTGGCTTGTTTTTTTGCAGGAAGACGAAGAAGAAGTGAAGAAGCCTGCCAAGAGGGCTGCTTCGAACAACAAGAGTGCCAAAAAGCCGCGCAAGAAACGCGCTAAGAATTCTGATGACTCTGAGGACGAGGATTATGAAAGCAATGACAGCGAATATGAGGTTTGTTTATTTGTTATCTTACTTTTCTATTGATTTCCACAAATACACAAGGTACTCAACTGCTGGGAATATGACTCTTGTTTATAATGGGCAAATGTAAGACTTTGCCTATGTTCCCCATGCTTAGACAGATGGATTGGAAAGGCTTAAAAAATACTGTTAACGCCAATATGTAGTCAAAAAGCGCCTTACCGTACCGTAATGAGCGTACGTGCTGGTATTCAAGTGGTGTAAGTCCTTGAATACAATACCTAATTTTCAACGAAATGCTTGTTTCAGGAAAAGAAACCTAAGAGGCAAGCGGCTAAAGGGAAGAAAGCTGGCGCCAAAGTGAGTTGTACTTAATTATTTTTTACTTACAAATATTTACGCAGAACGTCAGAGAATTTGACTAAAATAGCTCAAAGATGCAACTTGCCTTTAGCACAAATTTAAACAGACGATCCATCCGTCCATCCCCATCAGACAAATTGTAAGTCTCATGCGTATTTCACCGAATTAATTCTGAAACTGGCGGTAACTCGATTTCTCGTGCAGATTAATTATTTATTTGAATCGCATACCAGTTTTATCGATTCTACGCGATAAGCCCATACATTTGTCTAAAATCCTCGATAAGATTTTATCATGGCGCGCATTATTTATTTATTTATTTATTCACAACAACAACACTTCACTGTCATTACAGGACATCCCACTGCGACAGCGAAGACAACACATCAACATACACAACGTCAAATACACAACTAGTAATCACCTACATACAAACCTACACATAACATATAACAAATAATGATGCCTTTGTAAATTCACTCAGAGTACAAGAAAAAATATCTATTTTATCCGAAATTAGATTGAGAGTGGAAATGGCGCGCGTCAACGGCGCTTGATTGAGCAGGCATTATAGCCTGGCAGATCATGCTAGGAGTAAAGATGACCCACGCTGAACTGTCCCACCAAACTCAATGACAGGGGGGCGCTACCATCGTTCAACTATATGGTCTCCAACATAGCAAAAATCGGAACCAGCGATCCGGTATTGACGGTGGCGCCCCGCTGTCAATGTCATGGACAGGACAGTTCAGTATTTTGGAACTATAGGAGTATCTCCATGCATTTACAGTTTATTTTTCTAAATCCAGGGCGGCGGTCGAGGCAAAGGCAGCGGCTACACTCGCGCCTACAAACTGTCGCCGGCTCTAGCAGAGCTCATGGGAGCCGATGAGATGCCTCGCCATGAAGTAGTCAAGCGTATGTGGGCCATAATCAAGGAGAAGGAACTCTATGACCCCAACAACAAGCAGTTCGCAATCTGCGACGACGCTCTATACAAAGTCATAGGAACCAAACGCTTCCGCACCTTCGGTATGATGAAGTATCTGAAAACTCATTTCCTTGACGAGTAAGTTTACGCTTTAGTCAGTTTGCGTGGACAAATTACGAAACTTGGCGTTGTGTTGTATGGATGACTGCAACGTCTAGCGTTTACAAAAATGCGACGATGCTTACGTACCATACGGTATTAAAACTATTTTAGTCATTAAATCACTTTTTTGTCAAACATACATAGGTACTTTTTGACGTGCACGGTAGTGCATGGGCCAAGTCGAATAGAAGCTACATTTATGGACAGTCCACGCAGACGTATTGATCTCGTGTTCATAGATTTTGTCCTATGTTATTTTTATGTCTAAACACGACTTAAAGTTTGTACAAGATCCATCAACACGAGATTTTAAGAAAAATTGCTGTGATATCTCATAGATAACCGGTATTGGCAGCAATTATTAAGTAAGGATTTCAAAGAAACTACATAACTACTTAGATTTCAACCGACAGGTCAACTTGCATTTACATTATGTACTTTCTTCTAGTAATATCGTCCATGTGTCGCTACAAGTTGGAAGAAAATAATTATTTAATAAGAATAAAATATTACTTGTAATGATAAGCATAGTACAGAAATGTTGTACAAACTTCGACATAAGTGAATCGTTTAATTCAAAAATTTAAATCTATTGCCAAATTATGTTTTCTAAAAACTAATCACTGTATCAAAAGTTCGACGACAATATTTTGTTTTTATACTTTTTCGTTTGAGGTTG